ATTTTTACTTAATAAGCAAATGCGGTTAGGTTAATAAAATTTTTATTTTTTTTCATGTTTCTTTATTCAATTATTTCTGATGATCTGCAAGTGTCCTTATATTTATGACCAGGAAGTGTACGTACGATCCTTTGAAAATCTTGAAATAAATTTTCCTCACAATCAATCAATCAATTAATAACAATGACGACAATAGAACCAACTATACCAAAATTCAAGGTCTATACATCAACACATTTATTTCTCTCACAAGAGATTTATTTTCAATTGACAATTTTTCAAGAAGATTCGGTTTGGGTTGGTAATCAAGGAAATGAATTGTTGAATAATTTGGCCTCCACCAATTTCATCAATGCCAGCCACTGCCACAAATGCATTAACCAATGATGTTGATGAACTTTCCAAGCAATTTGGAAAAAAGCTTGGTAAGTTTCATTATATATTTATTTCGATAATTAATTAACGTGTAAACTGAATGATTTTTAATTTTTAATTTTTATTAAAAAAAAAGCATCAAAATTTAAGAAACAATTTTTTATTAGTATTAACTTACCATCCGATAATACTGATAATACGATACTAATCTTTGCTGAAAAGAAAGTATTGGAATTGATTAAAGAAATATTTCCATAATTTTTTCGCTTATTAAAAAAAAGCAAGAAATATCAATAATTAAATAAAGAAAAAGAATTTTCTTCATTATGTATAATAGCCGTAATATCATTTTCACCTTTCCAAGGATGTTAGTCATACAAATGGACCACTCTTTGAATTTTACTTTTTGATAAAGAAACCCCATTTGTTGTTTGAATTGAATCAATCAATCAATCAATCAATCAAATCAATCAGAGATCATAGATGCTGTGGTATTACCCCTCATCAACCTCTTCATCAGTCTCTTCATTATTAGTGGTGGATGATTCCAGTCCGAGCTAAATCCAGCAGAAAAGAAAAAAACAATTGTGCTAATATATGAGAGAATTTCATCGCTTGTAAATCAGGAGATATATATATATATTAATATTAATATACAATTAAGTTGAAACAGCAGACCGGAAACATACAATAAAGGCAAATAAAAAAAAATACACCGCTAGCAGCATTATTCTTTTGCTCGTCGTTAACCTCGCAGATTATTCATGCTTGGGTTTAAATGCATTACAGCCCTGTGCTTGTGTTCAGATCATCTGCAATGGTGGTACAATGTTGGGTAAATCGTTGTTTCTAGGTTTCTAGGTTATTCAAAAAAATGAGTAGGCAACGAGCTTTCTGGGTCACAATAATCTTCTCGTTGTTATCTTTCCTGAAGGAAGATTCAACCTTCCGACAAACAAGGTCATTCATTGAATCGGTCTACAGTAATTGTTTCGTAGTAATAGTAACACCAAAAGACAGGCTTATTTTCCGAAAATTGAAATTTGTTTTTGTTACACGATTTAAAATAAGTCTTCAATGCTAAAAAAAAACTTCTTATCAATATATACATATATATTTTCAAAAGGAAATGAATTTGGGCTGTGTATATTTCAGACATGTATTATTTATATTATTAATATAATAAATAATAAATAATATAATAAATAATAAATAATAATATAAATTAATTAAAATTATTACACAATATCAATATACATAAAACAGAAAAATATTTTTTTAGGGAAATTTTCATTTTCCCATCTCTACACTTCATTATTCATTATTCATTATTCATTATTTGTAAATTTTAATTGTTATGTTATATTAAATAACTATTTATTGGATTGCAAAAAAATAAATAAAATAACACTCTCTCTCGTATAAAAAAATGTCTGAAGAAAAGTCACAAAAAGTAGTAGGTGAAGAAGAGATTACATCTGGAAATGAAAAATTTGAAAGAGGAAGCATTGAACAAGGAGATATAAATTCAAAAGTTGAATTAATAGAGCAAAAACATGTTGGAATACAAGAGGACATACTCCCTGAATTAGAGGCTTTATTACACACCAATCCTTTGGAAGGTCTAACCACCGAAGAAGTTCAAAAACGGCTGGAACAATTTGGTAGAAATGAATTGGCAGAAGCAAAAACTAATTTCCTTTTAAAATTTTTATCCTATTTCACTGGTGCGATCGCCTATCTGATTGAGATTGCCTGTATATTTGCTGCCATATTACAAAAATGGGTAACTTTTTTTTTTTAAAAAAATTACTTTTATTTCTTATTTATTCTCATTTCCCTTTGTTCTTTTTCCTTTTTCCTAGCTTGATTTTAGTATTATTTTAGCTTTACTTCTTGTAAATGCTTTTATTGGTTTTATTGAAGAAGCTCGTGCTGAATCTGCACTGGACGCTTTAAAACAAACCCTTGCCTTAAAATCTAAAGTATGGCGTGATAAACAATTTATTGAAGTAGATGTTTCCGAATTGGTTCCTGGCGATATAATTGGTCTCAGGCTTGGTGACATTGTTCCAGCCGATGCTCGTTTACTTGGTATTTCTGTCACTGGTGGAGAAACTGAAGGTTATCTCTCAATAGATCAATCTGCTTTAACCGGTGAATCCTTACCTATTGAAAAAAAGAAGGGCGATACTGTCTACTCCTCATCAATAGTTAAACAAGGTCAAATGTTGGCTGTTGTAACAAAAACTGGCGCAGACACTTTTATTGGCAGAGCTGCTAATTTGATTTCACTCACCGTCGAACAAGGTCATTTCCAAAAAATTGTCAGCGCTATAGGAAATTTCTTAATATTGATCACGGTTATTTTGGTTCTTATAATTCTTGTCTATCAATTGATTGCCTTCAGAGGCACTGAAAAAGGTCAACCACTCACTGTATTAGGTCATATTTTGGTTTTAACTATTGCTGCTATTCCTGTTGGTCTTCCTACTGTCTTGTCTGTAACTATGGCTGTTGGCGCAAAACAATTAGCTGCTAAAAAAGTCATTGTTAAACGTCTTACCGCTGTTGAAGAAATGGCTTCTATTTCAGTCCTTTGTTCTGACAAAACTGGTACTTTGACTCTCAATGAGTTGACTTTCGATCAACCTTACCTTTGTCCCGGTTACACAAAAGATGATATTCTATTATATTCCTATTTATCTGCCGAACCTGGTGCGAATGATCCTATTGAATCTGCTGTTCGTTCTGCTGCCGAAAGTCAATTGGATATATTACAGAACAGAACAAACAAGAATGAAGTGCCTGGTTACAAAGTTACCGCCTTCATACCTTTCAATCCAACAACAAAAATGACCAATGCCACCGTTGCAAATCTGAATACAAAAGAAGTATTCAAAGTTGCAAAAGGTGCACCTCCAGTTATTATTAAATTAGTTGGTGGTAATGATGATGCTGTAAATGCTGTCAATGATTTAGCTGTACGTGGTCTACGTGCTCTTGGTGTGGCTCGTACTAAACCTGGAAATTTGAATGAGTATGAATTGATTGGTATGATATCTCTATTAGATCCCCCTAGACCTGACTCTGCTGAAACAATCAGACGTTGTAAAGGATATGGTGTGGAAGTTAAGATGATTACCGGTGATCAATTGATCATTGCAAAAGAAGTCGCTCATAGACTTGGTATGAATCGTGTCATCTTGGATGCTAATCATCTTATAGATCCAGACAAGTCTGAAGAAGAAATCACTAAACATTGTGAAAGAGCTGATGGTTTTGCTCAAGTCATACCCGAACATAAATATCGTGTGGTTGAACTTTTACAAAAACGTGGTCTACTTGTTGGTATGACCGGTGATGGTGTAAATGATGCACCAGCATTGAAGAAAGCAGATGTTGGTATCGCTGTACATGGCTGTACTGATGCTGCTAGATCAGCTGCAGATATTGTGTTATTAGCTCCTGGTCTTTCCACAATTGTTGATGGTATCACAACATCACGTGCCATATTTCAACGTATGAGATCTTATGCTTTATATCGTATCACTTCCACTGTTCATTTCTTGCTCTTTTTCTTCTTCATCACACTGATAGAGGATTGGGCAATGAGTGCAACCCTTTTAATTCTTATAGCTTTGTTAAATGATGCTGCCACTTTAGTGATAGCTGTAGATAATGTAAAAATTTCATCAAGTCCTGATAAATGGAGACTTGGACAATTGATTACCTTGTCACTGGTATTAGGTGTACTTTTAACAATTCTTTCATTTGGACATTACTATATTGCACGTTATGTTTTTGGAATTGGGCTGGATGTAGCCGAATTACAGAATATCATGTATCTACACATTTCATCAGCTCCACATTTTGTCATTTTCTCGACTAGATTATCAGGGTACTTTTGGGAAAATTTACCATCACCAACTTTTTTTATAGCTGTAATGGGTACTCAAGTGTTTGCTATGTTCATTTCAATTTATGGTGCTTTCACTGATGGTGGTGGTATTGGATGGGCATGGGGCCTTAGTATCATAGCAATTTCATTGGTATACTTTGTATTTTTAGATTTTGTTAAAGTTGCTATATTTAAATATTGGTCATTCGAATTAACAGCAAGATTATGGCCATCAAAATCTCGTAAAACCAAATTACGTAGTCGCAAATTAGATGCTTCATATCAAATCAGGATTTCTCGAACTGTTGCAAAAATACGTAAAGTTGTTATAATTTGTAAGGTATTATTGGCTTTTGAACATGCAAAGAAATCAAGCAGAAAGAAAGCTATTGCTGGACCATCAGTTTAATTTTAATAATTATAATAATGATAATAACAATAATAATAATAATAATATATAATATTGTATTATATACGCTATAAAAATTATAATTAGAATTAATAATTATATATATTATATTATATTATCAAAATAAATAATTTACCGTTTCTTTTACTATTTACTATCATATTTTTTAATTTACGTCAATTAAAAGGAGAATTTTAAATTTTTTGGGGGGGTTTTCTTGTATATTATTTATTATTATTTATATATATGAAAAACAAAAGTAATGCTGATAATCCGTTGTATTATTAATTTTATCTTTAAACAACTTTTTTTTTGTTACATTTTTTACGCAATTTTTGGGACAGTTCCGCCACAATTTATAATAAAGATCCGATTGGTTCACAAATTAATTTATGATCATATAGAAGGACTAATTATTGTCCCCTGCTGACCTTTTTGTGCCGTTGTTATTTTACGTAGTATTTTCGGAAAAAAATAACCACACTTGGATCATCATAATAACAATGAGAAAAATCCGTTTCGATGTGAAAAAATTATAAATGTACTAGTCAAATTTTTATTTTTTTAAACAAAAAAAATTTATTTTCGAATAATAATAAAAAGTAAAATAAGCATACTAGTAAAATAAATAATAAACAACAATGTCTAAAACTACAACAAAAAGAAGGATACATTCTACTTCTAGTAATACAAGTGATAGTGGTAGCAGTGTTAGCAGCGTCAGTAGCAATTACGATAATGGCATAAGACATGATAATAATGTTAATAGTGATTATGATGTTAGTCGTATAAATTATAACAGTAGCAGTAGCAGTGTTAACAATAATAGTATTGGTGGTAATGATACAAGCATTATGAAAACTACTGTTAAAAAAAAAGAGAGAATGCAATATAAACAACTTGAATTTCAGGAGAATGTTAAATTGTGCATGGAATATTTCTGGAGAGGTGTCTGTGACGCATTTACTTGGCCCACAAGTTTAATCACAATTTATGGGTAAATTGATTTTTATTTATTCATGATATTGCTACTATGAATCATAACTATATTCATGCACACACACACACACATATACACACCCATTCATCAAATTTAGATCTAGTACACTTAGGAATCGAACGTTAAAATGTTTGATTTTGAATGGAGTAATTTTTATAGGAAGTATATTTTTTTTCAAGAATTTGACATTGCCAATAATACACTTTTTCTTAGGGAATCCAATATCAAATAGTAAAGGAGAAGAACATTATTCACCATTTATTACAAATATTTTAGATTCAATTGTAAATTTAATTTATCAGGTATTTCTCACTCATTTTTACACCTTGTAATGGTTTTTTTAATTATTTAATTAATTTGTTTATTTATTTTTGCTTATTTGTTTATTTATTTAACAGCTATTTTGGGTTTATCCAATATTTTTATTAAGTTTTATATTAAATTCAATGTGGTACCAAGACATTGCAGATCGTGTTTATATTGGAGAAACAATAAATTCTAAAAATTTTAATTATAACAGATTCTTGAGAGTAGTAGCGGATGAGATTTACAGAACAATATTATTTATGAATTATTTAATATTTTCAACAATAATTTACATTATACCCAAGATTGGGCCATTTTGTTCATTTATATACTTTTGTTGGATTTATTCATTTTATAGTTTTGAGTAAGCAATTTTCTATTTTACGCTTTTTGTTTTCCTTGGGGGAGAGAAAATCGCTAAATTAAAAAATTAATAAAAAAATCCAAATAGATATAAATGGATAAATAAAGGCTGGTCATTAGAACAAAGGATTGATTATTTTGAAGAAAGATGGGCTTATTTTGCAGGATTTGGTATTTAATCAAAATCTCACTCCTTTAAAAATTTCACTTGATTGATATATTATTAAATGTAATTTATTTATTTTTATTATTAGGTTTTATTTTTACTTCTGTTACATTTTTTGTAGATGTATTTTTTAGTGCTGGAATATTTGCTTTATTCTTTCCAATTGTAAGTGAATTAATTCATAATAGTAATATTATAAATATTATAAATGTTGATAGATTAACAAATATATATATATATATACCACATTACATTATATTTAGTACATAATAATGGCCAATAATGCTTTACCAATGCCAAGAAATAACAAAAAGTTGGAATTCTCTCCACTGGTTCCTTATAAACTACCAATATTTTGGATGGCAAAAAGAATGAATGATAAAATTATAAACATTTTTCATAATAGAGCAATTAGATAATTATAATAATTATTATATATATATATATATAACAAACAAACAAACGAACAATAAACATTTAATTAGAAATTTTTTTTTTTATTCATAAATTAAATAATGAACATTTCAAGTAAACTAAAAATAAATTAGAATTTATAATTAAATAGATAAATAAATTTCATAATAATGAATATAATAAAACATAATTATTACCTGTAAAAGATAAGATTCTGCGATGGCTCTTGCTCTTTTATTGAAACTTAATTTCATCTCACTAATTTCTTTATCAACTTCTTCCATAAAGTTAATAATAAAATCTACCAATTTGTCCTTCAACATTTGTTCCGTGTGAAAATTTGTAATTAAAAAACTAATATCATAACCCTATAATATATATATAAATCAATAATTTCAATATTATATAATATATATACATGTTAATATTATATAATTTTGATTCTATTTACTTTTATTGGTTTTCTTCTTAATATAATAAAATTATCGGCTCTTAACATCATAAATCTAGTGAATTTGTGACATAAAATTCTTTCCATTTCATCAGCTTGTTTGATCTTTATGCTCATGCGCAATGAATTAATTGATGGCTCTATCAATACTCCTTCTTGTTCATTTCGGCTAATTATCAATGGATTCATTACAACTTCAGGCGAAGATCTATAAAATCAAAGATTAAATATTATTATTCTTATTCTTATCCTTAATAATAACCATGATAATAATGACAATAATAATAATAATAATAAACCTAGCCTCTACTTCAGGCTTGTTGTGTCTTTCAACCACTTGAGATGGAAAATTTTCTAAACATAATGCAGCCGTTAAGGTTGATTTAACTGCTTTTAAATATGGACGCAATGTATTAGACTGAAAAAGCAAAGATCAATTAATTTAATATAAAATTATTATTGTTGCTTCTTTAAATGATGTGATTAATTACCATTTTCAAAAAAAAAACGAGAAAATGTTCTTATCCCAAAATTGTTACACAGTAAATATCATTTTTAAAAAATTACGATTTTCTTTTTTGTACCATTATTTGTCAATAAACTATTGTCAAGAAAATAAAAAATGAGTTCAGGAGAATTTATTGATTACTATGAAATACTTGGCGTGAATTATAATAGTACGGAAATAGAGATTAATAAAGCTTATCGTAAAAAAGCAATTACTTATCATCCTGATAAAAATTTAAATAATGTTGAAACTGGTAAATACATTAAAAATGTCTAGAGATTAGTTGTTTTATCTTTGAAAAAAAAATTTATTTATTATATCACCATTCTTTTTGTTTAATAGCAACAAAGACTTTTCACACAATCACAAAAGCTTACAATATATTAACAGATCCAAAACAGAAATTAGAATATGATCTTAAATTTAAAGCCAGGATTGCTACAAAGAAAAGATTTGAATCATTAGATGGTAAAAGAAAAGCAATGAGAGAAGGTAAATAATAAGCATTTAGATATATATATGTGAGAGAATTTGTATGTGTTCATTATATTAATAACAAATTAATACAATAGAATTGGAAGAGGCGGAAAAGTCAGCTAAACAACAAAAACTTGATATAAAAAAAGAACAAGAAGAAAGAATGAAAAGATTTTGGGAAAAAGAAGATCGATTAAGTAAAAAAAGGGATGACGATTTGTCATCAACCAATATTAAAATTCCAAATAATTTATCATCTTCTTCTTCAAATATCAATATTAAAAAACAAACAATTGAAAATAAGGTGTGTGTGTATATATATCTATATATACCTATATATTTTAATTCATTAGTTATTGATTTATATGTTCTTGTACCTCTTTTTTTAGGAAAAGATAATTCAAGATTTTCAAAATTATGAAAAGAGTGTTTTTGAATTAATGGAAGAGGCCATTAAAATTCAAAAAATGAAAAAAATGAAAAAAAATTCTAAATTAAACAATAATGATGATGATGATGATAACGATAATAATGACAGAACAAAAATATGACGACCAAAAAATGAAAATTTGGCAAGTTGATGTCCAAGAACAAAAATCACGGGGTTTGACCACTCTTGTAATTCATAATCAGTCTTTTAGACGTGTTGCACCATGTTTATATGTGTATGCGTGTGTATGTATGTATTTAGTGTTACATTATTTTTATGTATAGTGTAATATTATATATAGATAAAGTGTGATGAAAATCTTCCATTTATATATATATATATGAATTGAAGAGAGGGGTTGTATATGTTAATTTTTAGTCTAAAACAATAAGAGCTTTAAAATGAATGGAATTCAACATTTAAATGGGCATGTTATAAGCTAATGTTCAACATTAAAATAATAATAACAATAACAATAATAATAATAATAATAATAAATGCGTGGAGCCCTCGTGACAAAAAACCATAATTACCTAAAATCAAAATGTGCATATTTTGGTCCCCTGAAAGTATATATAACTTGTTTAACAATATGGCCCCATAATTTATTTTTTAATTTAAAATTATTTATAATTAATCGAAATAATTTTTAGGTTTATTATTATTACATATATACAAAAAAAATTTTATTATCTAGAAACCAATAATAATAATATTCTAAGGATTATGAAAAATAATATGAACAATACTTTACCAAACTTTAAACTTGATACTAATAATATTCCTTCAGAAGTTTTTCGTTCTTCACCTTCAACTCCTGTATCTGCTTCAATACCCCTTAAAAAATCAAATAAACCATCTAAAACCTCGAATTCCGCCTCATCTTCCTCATCCACCTCATCCACCTCATCCACTACCGCCTCTATTCCTTTCTCACAAGGTAGACAACCAACAGTGGCTACAATATCTTTAGCTCCAACAACTACCACAACTGTGGTCACTACAACTACTACCACTACAACTTCTTTTCCCCCTTTACTATTAAATCCTCCACCTTTACCAAAACACCTTGATCCAAAAGAATATCCTTTAGCTGACACTCCAACACCTCCAGTTTTAAAAAGGTTTTGTTTTGATTTAAATGGCCAACCTGCTTACATTCGTGAGCATGAGGACACTGAAGAACAATTGTTGAAGGTTTGTAATACAATACATACACATATATATAAATTAAATATCAAATCTAAAATAATAAAATATACATATATACTTATTTATAGCTTCAAGAGGCTTTATATAATATGCGAGCATCTGGTCCTACATCCTCTACATCAAAAACTGTAAAGACTGCTACTTATCATTCTTTTAATGATAATTTTAGTGGAGCTAAACCTTCAGAAAGCGGTGCCCGTAAAAGACCTGCATCTCCCTTAGAATTAACATTAGAACCTCCTAAACAATCTTCCAATAATAATAGTATTGATAGCAATGAGCTTAGTAATCATTTAAGCAAAACCACGCGGGCTTATAGATCTTTATCCCCGCCACATAAGAAAGTTTGTGCCAAATCATCCTCATCCATGGTAACAAGTCCTTCAAAACAAGAGAATGATCCAATTTCACAAAGACAATGGATGGAATTTTCAAATAACAATGATGAGGATGAGAATGGTGACGATGAGGATGGTGACGATGATAATATTACCGGGATTAAAATAAATTCACTTATAAATAATAATAATAATCTTCAAGTTGACTCACGCCAATCCATTACCCCCTCCACTTCTTCAAATTCAAGACATTATAATGCCATGTCAACATCTAATCTTGGTATGGATACTCCTTCTACTGCAAGAAGTACCCAATCTTCTGCACTTCCTTCTCCATCTCTTTCACCAAACAATAATACAAATCAATTTGAAACTTTCTTTGCTAACCATTCTTCTAACACCAATATGAATGATGATGATAATTTAACAACAATTATTGATGATAGTAATTGGAGCCTACAGCAACAACAAAGTCAACAACAAACAAGAAAAGCCATTACCACCACAACTACTTCTTCCGAATTACCTAGTTTATGGGATTTAAATACCATGTTAGCAACATTCGACGCACTACCGCCTTCAATGAAATCTTATATGCTTTTTCAATTATTAAGGCGTTGTCCTACTAATACTCTCCAATATGTTAGTAGTATAATTTTACCTGCATTAAGAAAAGATTTTCTTGGTACTTTACCGCTAGAACTAAGTCTACACATAGTAAGATACTTGGATGCATCAAGTATGTGTAAAGCAGCTCAAGTTAATCAACGATGGAGGAATGTTGTGGATGGTGATGGATTTACTTGGAAAAAGCGCTTGTTATCTGATGGTTTCAATCTTGAGGAATCAGAAGAAGCACGAGCTATTTCAGAAAATTGGGGTTTTGCAAATTCAATAAAATCGTCAACAACAATTAAAAATAATCACGAGGACATTGATAGTAATAATAAAAATAATTATGACGATGACGGTGGTTCAAGGCAAGTAGATATTTCATCTTCTGAAGAAAGGACAATTGTAGAAATTGATGAAGATGACAATACTGAGATTATGAGAGTTATCAATAATAATACTAGAATTAAAATTGAAGGTTCTGAATCTTCAAGACATATTCTTAACAACAATGAAAACAATGATAATGATAATGATGACGATAACGATATGGTAGTTGATTCTGATGAAGCTCCAAAACAAGAAAATTCTCATACTTCAATTATTGAAGATGATGATATTGATAATGGTGATGGCGGTGGCGATGATGTAAATTTGCAAGGTTCTTATACACTCTCTCCTAGTAGTACAGAGGTCCAGCCATCATCATCTAATAATACAAATGGTAACGACAATGATAATAGTGATAGTCATAGTAAGGATGACGACAATAATGATTCTTCACATACAAAGGAGATTTCTTCAATTCAAAATAAAGGTAAAGGTCGAGCAGACGTTGGATGGGATTCAACAGAACTTTATCAAGACGAACCAAATCAAGACGATGATAAGCCATATGATGGTGATGATAGTGATGTTGATGCAATGTCTCAAGAAAGTGGTGATCATGTTGACACCTCTGATGATAAATTACCTCTTCCACCTTCAACCAATCATCCATATAAAGAGATCTACCGCCGCCATTATCTTACACGAAAAAATTGGTCTTATGGTCGACATAAGCACATATCATTCCAAGGTCATGGTAACAATGTTGTAACCTGTTTGCAATTCGACTCTGAAAAAATTATTTCAGGCTCAGACGATCAATGTATAAATGTTTACGATACAGCTACTGGTAGAATGATAAATAGACTCGAAGGTCATGATGGTGGTGTTTGGGCTTTACAATATGTTGATAAAACATTGGTTTCTGGCTCAACAGACAGAACGGTTCGCATATGGGATCTTTCAAAAGGCATATGCACTCATGTATTTCCAGGTCACACGAGCACTGTTAGGTGTCTTCAAATCATAACACCACAAAATGTTAATCCAAACCCAAATGAGCCACCTATTATCGAACCACCTATTCCTTTAATTGTCACAGGCTCAAGAGACTCTACGCTAAAAGTATGGCGTTTACCTAATGAATCTGATTCACCATATCATCCTACTATACCTTCATCGCCATCTGACAATGCTCAATTTAGCGATAATCCATTTTTCATTCGCACCCTTCAAGGTCATAATCATTCTGTTCGTGCTTTAGCAGGTGTAGGAAACACTTTAGTTAGTGGTAGCTATGATTGCACTGTCAGGGTTTGGAATATCATGACAGGTGAATGTGTATGGCGTCTACAAGGACATTCACAAAAGGTTTATTCTGTTGTGTTAGATGCTAAAAGGAAAAAATGTATGAGTGGAAGTATGGACGGCACCGTTAAAGTATGGAGTCTTGAAGATGGCACTAATATTTGGACATTAGAAGGACATTCATCGCTTGTTGGTCTACTTGATCTTTCTCACGATTACCTTGTTTCAGCAGCAGCAGATTCAAGTCTTCGTATATGGAATCCCGATGATGGCACGTGCAAGCATGTATTAACTACTCATTCTGGAGCAATAACATGCTTTCAGCATGACGAAGACAAAGTTATATCCGGTTCAGATGGAACTTTGCGTATGTGGGACGTGAAAACAGGAAAACATATTCGAGACCTTCTAACAGGACTGAGTGGTGTATGGTAATGTATTTATTTTATATATATATATTTTTTTTTTCTTAAGCTAAAATAGTAATTAATTATAGGCAAGTGAGATTTGACGAGCGGCGGTGTGTTGCAGCTGTGCAAAGGAATTCTGTGACTTGGTTTGAGGTCTTGGATTTCGGAGTATTTGGTATAGAAGAAGGAAAAAACACACATAATGCCAGCTGTACTGATGAAAATGGTAATTGGATTTCTAAAAGAATAATTATAGGATAGGTTATACTTGCCATCACTACTAAAGTACATTTCACACCATCAGCATGAATAAATTATTACTGTTTAGTTTATTTTTTTTTTTTTGAATATGTTTATCATTGTGATTAAATTTAAATTAACGATTATAGGATTATATATGTAGTTATGAACGTTTTTAATTTTAAAAATTTTTTTATTTCATGTTTGCATATCAATCATAAATACATTATAATTTAGATCTATATAAAGTTTTCTTGTATTATGATTTTTTTTAGATTTATAAAATAATTTTTTCTTTTTTACTAATATTATTAAAAATGTAAGATAATATTTTTACATATATAATAAGATGTATATGAATTATGATCATTATTTATATTTATAAGATTATTTGATTTTTGAATAAATTTTAAATTCAAAAAGATGAGTCGGTAGATCATGATCAACATATAAATATCTGAATTTTTTTTTTTAATTAAATTATTAATTTTACAAAAATTAGCATGAGTTCAATCAAATCACTCATTCCTCCAAAACTTTCTGCCTCAGGAATTGCGGGTAACTCTGCAGCGTACGCACAATTAAGTGACTTTTATAGCAAACTTCCAAAAGGTCCTCTATCTCAACATGCACCACCTGGATTATTAGGCCGATATTATTATAGATATTTTAGAACTAGCTCGCCTGCTCCTATTCTTCATCTTATTGTAGGCCTGGGAATATTAGATTATGCACTTGCATATCACCTTCATTTAAGTAAATAGCATTTTTTTGATTTTTAAAAGTAACTTGAATTAATATTATATCTTATTAATTTACAAAATTCTTGATACTTTTTTAGAGCATCACAAGAATAAAAAACATCATTAAAATAAAATTAAATCAAGCAATATTCATAATAATAATAATAATAATAGCAATATTGGTAATCATTAATATTATAAAGTAAATATTTAATAAAATAATTTAGGCGTTTTATTAAAGCCCTTTCTAAAGAATTTCAATTTGCAATTTAGATTTTATTATTCTATTTTATACATAACTTTTAATTTTTTTTAATTAAAAAAAAAAAGAAATTATATAATTTAGATAAAATAATAAAGTTGTTATCGTCAAAGAAATCGTTATTATTATTATTATAAAGACGAGGGTTTTCATTAATGATGCGCATTATATCTAATTTACTACTGATAGAATCTACGAGTTGAATAAATGGGGGAATTTACAAATTCTAAAGTTTTATTTTATGTGCAAAGTCTATACATAGTCAGATGGGCCTGTTACTCCAAAACAGTACATAGTAATCACATAAATATGACACGGAGGTTTTTTACTGTTATTATTATTATTAAGTTAACGAACGACTCATTTGTATCGTGGTGGAAGAATTCATTCTTTTAATATTAGAAGTTAATGGGATGCTTAATTTCCAGAGGATTTTGTAAAAAGGATTAATTGTTTTGGCAGTCTTTACTACCCTTTGAAACCTAATAATATTATTAAACTAATCAAAAAAAGTTTAGAAAACAAAAATTTTCCCTTTCGTTAATTCAAATATTGAACCCATAATAAATGTTGAATGAAGGTTAATAAAAATAGTTACAACGACATTCAACCTTGTGGATGTTTCGATGCTAAATCTACTGATTTATTGGAAGCAACTCCAATAAATCTAGTTAAAAGTTTCTTTATTGTTGATAAGGTTAAAAGTGCTAAAAAATTAGCACAATCGATTATCAGTATAGAATATTTAAATGGTCATAATCAAATAGTTAGTTCAGAAGAAACGGGAGAATATAACGATTTAAAAACTTATTTACAACCTTTACCTGTTGATCAAGAAGTTACTAGAAAAGATTTGAATATTAGTGATGAACCTCGTGAAGATAACGATTTAGAAAAAGTTAGGAAACAGATTTTAATTTATTTTCAAGAGCATGGTATTGAAAAAGTTAGAGTGGAAGGTAATAAACTAATCATAAAGTATAACCATAAAGAAGAAGAAGAAGAAGAAGCAAATTCATCTGAATTACAGCAAATTCAATCTTATTGTCAAGCCAAAGGAGTAAATTCGTTAACTTTAAATGATTTAAAAAAGGGTAATAATAATCAAGAGTTAGGATATGGAAAAATTCTTTTCTATGGGGGCATTGCTGTGGTAGTTTTTTGCGTGGTAGGATTAATTGCTTATCTTGCTTATCGAAGTGAAAAAAATAGACCACGAGGATATTAAAATATAGTGGGAGTTTCAAACTTTATTATATGTCTAAAAGTAATCGATTATTTTATTAAAATATGAAAAAAAAGTATGATCATAATGAAGTTAAAAGTAAAGAGAAAGATTGCTTTGTCAAGGAAAACAGTAAAATTTTTGAAGAATCGCCAGTAAATAGGACTAATTATTTTACTTGTTTATTGCCTTTTTGCATTTTGCATTATATTAAAAAATTAATAAAAATTCATAGTCAATCGATAAAAATTTCTGAATTTATTTTATTATCATCATTAATACCGTCATTAATATTATGACAATAACAATTATTTAATATATCTATACATTCATCTAAATCTTTAGCCTCTTGAACTTTAATTATTTCAGATATTACAACTTTTGATACTGATAAAAAAATTTGTTCTTTTGGAAATTCCAGAAAATTTTCAATTACCATATTACCATTACCATTATTACCAATAGCGCTATTATTGTTATTATTGTTATTATTATTACAACTGCTATTACTTGGTTCTCCTCCATCTAATAAAGAGACATTGAAAACCTTTTCTATTATATTATAAATAATTGTTTCAAATTCTTCTTTATTTATATTTGCTTGTTTTTGTACTAATGCAGAACAAAATTTTAAAAAATAGCTTTTAATATTAGAAGTAGAATTTATAGTTGAAAATAAATGTTTTGTGGTTAAGTGGTTTGGTTGTAAATTGAGTGGAATTAGATTCAAAAAATGCAATGAAATTTCGGGATTAGGATGATTGGTTGAAGGTGGAAGAGGTAATTTATCATCAGAGGTGTCAACATGATCACCACTTTCTTGAGACATTG